CCTTGTTAATCTTTTTTATGACCATTTAATTCATAGCCCAGCCAAGGAAACTAGAAGGGTGGAGGGAAGCCATTTTTTCCTCTCCTATGGTTTAAAGGGTACAGAGTTTCTGGAGTAATGAAAAAGCTCTGGAAATGGTGGTGATGGTTACACAATATTGTAAATTCTTACAGCCACTGAATTGTACACTTAGAAATGGTATACACAGAAACTTATGCATTAGGTATATTTTACCACAATTTTTAAAATACAAAAACAGCCAGGGTGTGGTGGCTCACACCTGTAATCCCAGCACTTTGGGAGGCCAAGAGGGGCAGATCACGAAGTCAGGTCAGAACCAGTCTGGCCAATATAGTGAAACCCCGTCTCTATTAAAAATACAAAACGTTAGCCGGGTATGGTGGTGCGCGCCTGTAATCCCAGCTACTTGGGAGGCTGAGGCAGGAGAATTGCTTGAACCCAGGAGGAGGAGGTTGCAGTGTGCAGAGATCATCCCGTTGCACTCCAGCCCTGGCTACAGTGCTGGACTCCGTCTCAAAAAAACAAAAACAAACAAACAAAAACAAACTCAAAGTGCTTAATAACGTACCTGGCACATTCGAAGTGTTCATAAAAGTTAGCTAGCATTGTTAAGTAATACTAAGTTGTAATAATGCTAACAAAAGTTACTGTAATACGGTTTCCTCTGAGCTTTCACGAAGGGGAGCGACAGGGCCTGGAAGGCAGCAGAGGGAGAAACCCAAGTAGTTCCTTTGGGAGTGGGGGTGGGAGGTGGGCAGGAAAGACCTGCCAAGAGAAGGGTTCAAGAGGCTTCCGTAAGCAGAAAGCACATAAGCTGGGAGGCCTTGGCAAAGATACCTCTTCAGTGTGGGCCACAGTGTCTCCCCTCGGATCTGCGAAGTCGGTTTTAGTTTTGCTGTGATGGGACATGCTCCTGGCTCCAGACCTGCGCAACAGGGCTACTACCTCCATCCTCCCTAATCTGTGGTCCGGCATCTGAGGCAACAGGGTCGAGGCAGGGCTCCAGGGTGGGCGTGAGGGCCCAGTCCCGGAGGCCACAGACCCTTCTTGCCCAACTACTCAGTGGAGAACCGCAACCCAGCGAGACCCCCCCGCCAACTCCTCCGGGTCCCCTTTTCTACTCTATCCTATCCTCCCTTCCCTGCCCCAGCCGAGAGGGGCAGACCCCAGTGTCTGGTCTTCCTGCTTTGTGTCACTCTCTAGGGTACTTGACCCAAGTCCTTCGTTAGAACCTCTCTCTTCCGCCCTCTCCCCACCACAGCAAACCAACAAAGCCTAACCCCATCGTTCCCTAACCCAATAGTACCTCTGCAGGGCTGTGGCTGGGGCTGGGCTGGCGGCCTTCAGAGGGGGTGTCGGGGGGAGGCATGGTGGGCGCGTGGGGCCGGGCGGTGTCCTGCTGGGGCCCCGGAGATCGGGCGGGTGCAGGCTCCTGCTGCATGGACCCCAGCTTAGTTTCGATTCTCGGTTTAGATCTTGGAGGGCGGGAGGAGAAGCTGAAAGGGAGACGTGAGCCAGATGGCAGATCCCCTAGAGCGGTCCGAAAGGGGAGGTGCCAGTTCAGGGCCCGCCTCTGGAGAGGAAGTGAGACAGGAGCTGGGGGCGGTTCTAGGGGCTGAGAGGCAGATTGGGGGTTTTAAAGACACGCCCAGAGCGGGGAGAGGGGAGAGGCTGGGGAGCCGCTTACCCACACCTGACTTATGGTAAAGCGGGAAAGGCGGGGAGGAGCTGCAGGGGGCAGCCTCGCCCCCGGCTTTGATCCATTCATCAGTTCACACTGGCACTGCCTCTTGCCACCTCCTGCTGGGAGCTGGGCGCAAAGAGATGAGCCACGCATGGCCCCTGCTTTCAAAGAGCCCTAGATGTAATGGAAGAGCAAGCCTGCAAACGGAGACATTCTGGAAAGGAGAGCCCTGAACTGGGACCCGAAAAAGCAGTGGGAATTCCCCAGGGATTCAGGGTTGTAGGTGGTGGGGTACAGGGGACACTTGAAACAGAAGGGATAGGCTGGGTACGGTGGCTGACGCCTGTAATCTCAGCACTTTGGGAGGCTGAGGTAGGCAGATCCCCTGAGGCCAGGAGTTCGAGACCAGCCTCGCCAACATGGAGAAACCCCATCTCTACTAAAAATAAAAGATTAGTCGGGTGTGGTGGCACATGCCTATAGTCCCAGCTACTCGGGAAACTGAGGCAGGAGAGTCGCTGGAGCCCAGGAGGTGGAGGTTGCAGTGAACTGAGATTGCATCACTGCACTCCAGGCTGTGCAACAGACTGAGACTCCATCTCAAAAAAAAAAAAAAAAAAAAAAAAAAAAAAAAAAAAAAAAGAAAGAAAGAAAAGAAAAAGAAACAGAAACAGAAAGGAAAGCTCCTGCAAAACGCATGGAAGTTTGAAACACAAACGCCTGTTTGGGAACTAGTTTTGGTCATTTTCAGATTTAAGAGAGAATTCATGAGAAATGATGCCCAAGGAGTGTTCTGAGACAAGATCCTAGCTAAGGAGATTGGACCAGGTCCGTGAGTGATGGGAAGTTGGTGAGGGATTTGGAACCAGGGAACAGCACAATCAGCTGTGCATGCTGGGACAGTCATTCTGACAACCTAGGGGCAAGAGGCCTGTGGACAGTGGCTGTGGGATGCAAAGGAGGGACTTGAGCCAAAGACCCTGGAAAGCCAGTGCCTGGAGGTCAGGGAGCAGGGTGATGCCTTGAGTGACAGCTGGAAAGGCTGGTGGATCTGAGATGGTGGGGGCAAGAGGGAGGGGGAGAGCTGGAGAGCAGGTATGAAGAGGGTAAAGGGAGAGCCAGCTAGGTCTTGAGCAATGGAAAAACATGCCAGACTCCCAGCTGGTAAGGTGAAAAGAGCAGAGCTCCAGGTGACCTCGCTGGGCCAGTGCCCCTGACCTCAAACTTAAACCATCACAACCACTGTGCTGGCCCCTGTGTACCCATTCTGTGCTCTGCTCCAACTTAGAAACAGAGTAGAAAGGGTGGTAATAGGGCATGGCTCTTGCAAAGCTTATAGTCTGTAGGGTTGAGGGCAGGGGCTGGAGGGGAGACCCAACTTCTTAGGGACTGTAAGAGGCCTCAGGAGCCTGCCATTCCCTCCAGCCTGCTCAGTACTCCCAGGCCTTTAGACAACCAGTCCATTAAAGCCAAATATGGTGGGCTACCATCTGCACAAGGGACCTGGAAGTGGGCTATGGCAGGATGGGGCTGCAGAAGCCAGAGGCGGTTGGCTGAGGAGGCAGGGCTGGGGAAGCTTTATTCATTTCTTGGCTTGCTTTGGAAGATAGCTTGCTTCCAGACTGCTCCCATGTCCTGTTGGAAGTAAATACTTCTCAGAGTAAATTCACAATTTGCATTCGGGTTTTCTCGAGCCCTGGAGAGGCAAGTTAATTCCAGGTACCTGGATCAAGGGGCCTGCGTGTTTCCGGACGCAGGACTGCGGGGCTCACCTTTGTGGTGCTCTGGGGCCCCTGTCCTCAGGTAGCTCTGTGTTATCCCCTTCTTCCTTACTTTCCCATGCTCCCCCAGGTCTGCATGTGAAATTTCTTTCTTTTTGTGCCAAAGTTCAGGCCTTCCTGGTCCACCTTGGTCACAGTGACTCTATGCCAGGTCCTGCTTGCTGGGCAGTGGGTTCACAAAGACGAATAATTTGCACACTATGTCCCAGAGAAACCCAAAGTCCAGATATGGCATGCCCTGCCTCCAGTGTGAGAGAAGGAATGCTGAGAAGGCTGATATAGCATGTCCTTGATCCTGGAGAAGATTCGCTTCCTGAAAACCCTGATGAGATCTTGCTCTCTCGCTCCGGCTGCAGTGCAGTGGTGCCATCATACCTCACTGCAGCCTCAAACTCCTGGGCTCAAGCGATCCTCCCGCCTCAGCCTCCCAAGTAACTGGGACCACAGGCAGGGCACCACCACGCCAGGCTAATTTTAAAAAATGTTTAGTAGAGTTAGGATCTCACTATGTTGCTCAGGCTGATCCTGAATTCCTGGCCTCAAGCGATCTTCCTGCCTGAGTCTCCCAAACTGATGGATTAGAGGCATGAGCCACCGCGTCCAGCTTCCCCTCCAGTTTTTCTAAGGCTGGGTAGGAGAAGAGGCAAGGAGGCGATGACCCCAGTGGGCTCCCGGTAACGGCGACCACACCCCTTAGTCCTCGGCCGCAGTTCGGTCCTCCCAACGCAGAGGGCGCCATGCAACGGCGGGAGCGGGCCCCTGCCGGCCTCCTCCTCCTCCTGAGCCCGCGCCGCCGCGGGTGGCTGCGCGGGTGAAGCCGGAAGCAGCAGTCAGCAGGGCGGGGCTGCCTAGGGCCCTCTGGTCAGGGCGGGCGCCGAGCGGAGGAGCGGGGCGTGTCCCCTGTCAAGAGCCATGCTCGGGAGGTCTGGGTACCGGGCGCTGCCCCTGGGGGATTTTGACCGATTCCAGCAGTCGAGCTTCGGCTTTCTGGGCTCGCAGAAGGGCTGCTTGTCCCCGGAGCGGGGCGGCGTGGGGACGGGGGCGGGTGAGTGGCCGCCGGGCACGGAGGACCTGGAGGGGCCGGCCGGCAACCTCCAGGCCTGAATCTCTACCTCTGAGGAGTCGGCCGGCCCGGCGCCGTCGCACCCTACGAGGGGGGACTGAGAAAGGGATAAGATGTGGAGACGGGGCTGGATCGGGCGCCAGGTGCTAGCGCCGATCCGCCCTCCCTAAGGTCACGGGGCTGTGGCCCCAGAGCCAGCCAGCGTTGCTCCCATCTTCCAAAACCTCACCTCACCATGTTTCTCCTCGGCCCTTACCAGCCCTTTAGGCCTGGGAAGACGTTTCAGGTTCCTATTTGGCATAGAAGAAACAGGTCTAGGCAGAGGAGGCCACCAGCACCCTAAAGGCATCTGCTGCAGAGAAATGGAAGAATTTTCACCCTAGGGTGCACCTCTAGAAGCCTGGGAACTAGACATCTCCTGGATGTGCAGGCCAAAAAGACAGGTCCTCAGCTGCCTGTTTGATCTGCCCTGCTTCTGTCTTGCCTTCAAAGTCTTCTGCGGCTCCTTTGGCCCAAGGCCAGATTCCATGCTGCTCAGCCTGACCACCTGACCTTGGATTTGATCCCTCCCTGGCCTTCCTGTCCTGACAGCTGTCCCTACTCAGAACTCTTTTTCAGAGGCCTAATGGATCACAGCCAGGGACAAAGTGGAGCCTCAGTGCTCTGGGTCTTAGCCCAGAGGGCAGGCTTCCTGGAAGAATGGAGCAGAGGCTCCTGACTGCTTCCTGTCCAGGGTTGGGAGAAGAAAAGCAGCAGATAACCTCATCCCAGATTCTGGAGCTGTCTCAGCTCCACTGCCATCCCGGGCTCCTGGTTCTCCAGGGGCCAGGACAATTGGCTTGGATAAGCCTCATCTTTCTAGCCCTGCCCCCGCTAACAATTTGCTTGAATTGAAATAGGCGTTTTGTTAATGGTCATTAAGGCATTAAAGTAGGGTGAGGAATTGAAAAAAATAATCTTATTCCTCATCTATGGCTCCTGTTGATGAGCCATTCATGCTTTATCCCTGTAGGCTGAGGCATCTTCATAACTCCTGGAAAACACACTTCTGGGGCTAATGGTATATAGGAGGAATGTGTTTTGCCAGCAGGATTCAGTGCCTGTTTACAGATGCTCAGGTGCTTCTGGCTCCTTGCCAGGTGTGGATAGGCAATACAAATCAAACAAGAGGATTGATCCCTCCCCAGTCCAGTGAGGAGAGCATCATCACATGGACTGGATTCTGAGACTGAATGGCTGTTGCCTGGCAAGAGAATAAGGCCTTGTGAGGGTTGTTGGACTTGGGACAGATGAGTGTTGATGAATGAGAGAAGGGAACAGACCCTAACTCACACCTGCCCAAAGATATGGGGATATTAGACAAGGAGCCAAATAGAGAACCCTGAGAAGGAAGGAGCCTCTGGAAGGGAAGGTGGGCGTGAGGTACACTTGCCTAAGTTCACTCTACTTGCAGCTGTTCTGGCAGGTCCAGTTGACCACCTTTGCTCTCACCGCAGATGCGCCCCAGAGCTGGCCCTCCTGCCTCTGTCATGGCCTCATCAGTTTCCTGGGGTTCTTGCTGCTGCTGGTCACCTTCCCCATTTCCGGCTGGTTTGCCCTGAAGGTAAGGCTGGCTGGGTCAGCCCCCAGGGTGGTCGGGCCACACTGAGAGCTTTGGCACTGATGAATAAATGTGCCTATACCCTGCCCCCTTTCCCTAAATAGTATTACCCCTTTGTGAAATGGGCTTGTCAAGGATCATTTATTCCCATTGTTAAGGGGAGGAAACTAAGGCTTGGGCTTGTCTAAAGTCACACTGGGAGCCAGTAGCGGGTAGAAACAAGTTCCAAATTCCTAAGTCCTGGCATCTGGACACTAGCTTTAAGGTGCCAGATCATCTTCTCTTTGAGTTCGACTAAATTGGAAATGAAAACACCCAACTTAGCCCAGCAGGTAATGCATAATAGGAATTCAGGCCTCATTTTCAACAAGGGGTGGTGCAGTGGGAAAACGATGAACTGTGGAGTTGCAGTTCAGCATCACAGGTGAAAGCTGTGGGGAAGGTGGAGTCCCAAGGAGGCCTTGCCCTTTGGCCCTAGGCAATAGTCACCTTCTCTAGACAGCCTCTGGGTTTGGTGTGGTCTGCAAGGGCGTCCTTAAATGGCCCGAGATCCTAGTTCTAAAACTGCTGCAGAAAGAAATGCTGTGTGAACCTGGGGAGGTTGCTTTGCCTCTCTGGGCCTTCATTTCTCAATCTGGATGTCACTACTTCTTTAAGAGGTCCAGGGACCTAAAGTAGACAAAGTCCTTTGCCCCGGGGTGCTACTAGGGCAGCCTAGCCTTTTCTCTTAAATAATCCAAGGACCGACAGTTTCCTGGTATGAGTCATGTTTAGCTTCAGACCACAGAGATGAAAAGTTTCTCTAAGGATCAAGTCAATACGGTGCAGTGGTTAAGACACATGGCCTTCGGAGTTATTCAGAGCTACACTCAAATCTTCCCGACTTCACGTAGGGGCTATGTGATTTGTGAGCAAATCACTTAGCTTCTGTGAGCTTTCATCTAAAAACAGAGCTAGGGATCCCTAACTGTGACCCAGGTGAGGAGGAGAGAAGGGAGAAAGGGACCTAGGCAGATGATGTTGGCCAGCCTAGGCTGACCACTTTCAGCTCTTTCCCTTGCTGTCGTGGACAGATCGTGCCCACCTACGAGCGGATGATTGTGTTCCGCCTGGGCCGGATCCGCACCCCCCAGGGACCTGGCATGGTGCTGCTGTTGCCCTTCATTGACTCCTTTCAGAGGGTGGATCTGAGGACTCGAGCCTTCAGCATCCCTCCCTGCAAGGTGAGGAGCTTCTCAGCTGCCTTGACAGGAATCAGGGACCCATCCAGAATGTATTGTGGTGCCAGGACCTTGGCCTGTGAGTCGCCATCTGGGGGAGAAGGGGGAAGAAGAGACCAAAAATTGATGGAGGGGAGGGGGACATCCTGGCTTCATATACCTAATCCTACATACTTGGGGATACCATTTGCCCTAGAGGAGCTAGCTGCCAAGCATGCGGGTCAAGCTGGCCCTTGGGGGCCTGAACTCCCTGCACCCCAGCCCCTTGAGTGTCTCTCTCTCTCATGGCCTCCCCCAACAGCTGGCTTCTAAGGATGGGGCTGTGCTGTCCGTGGGAGCCGATGTCCAGTTTCGCATCTGGGACCCGGTGCTGTCAGTGATGACTGTGAAAGACTTGAATACAGCCACACGCATGACGGCACAGAACGCCATGACCAAGGCCCTGCTCAAGAGGCTGCTGCGGGAGATCCAGATGGAGAAGCTCAAGATCAGCGAGCAGCTTCTGGTAGGCATCCCCTCACAAGACAGAGCTTGGACACTGGCACCGGCCCAGCTCCACCTGCTGGGTCACTTTGAGCAAAGTGTCAGACTGCTCCAGGCCTCAGTTTACCATATGTCCCAACTGTGTAACCACCTTTGAAAAGCCAGTGTCTGGGTGGGGCTATGAGTTGAGGAATGGCAGGTGGGCAGAGACCATAGTGATCTTGGGCAAACATTCCCTGAGAAGAGGAAGTGGCCCCGGCAGAAATTCTTGGGGCTCTGCCCCTGACTGCTGAGTTTTATCCTTCACTGCTCTGCCATGATGATACTGGCCTCTGCACCAGCTCCCATTCTGGGCCTGATTCATGGGGCAGGCAGGTGGGTAAAGGAGCAGGGATTCTCCCAGCCCGATTACCTGCTGGGGAATTCCATGCTCACCATGCAGCATGTGCCTTCTTGTGATTTGGGTTTCCTTGTTTGGAACAGAACAAAGGCGCGTGAGGACATCTGGATCTTTTGCCTGCCTCTTTTCCATGTGTATACTAGAGTTTGCCTAGAATCTCTTCTGCTATGAGTTGGGGTAGAAATACACATGCAGAGGCACGTCCCCTGCAGTCACACTCAACTTTTGCTTTCTCCTGTGTCCTGATAGGGGCATGTAGGTGAAGTTTCTCCCCTTTCTCTTGGCTCTGCTTTGCCCTGGGGAATTGAGATTGGAGGACAGGCAGGGGAGTGGGATACATGCCAGTCCTGGAGAGCCCACTGCAAGCAGTGAGGTGAAATCCCTGAAGAAATGCTCTCTGAGATCCTAACAGTAGCTCCCATGTGCATAGCAGTGTACAAAGTCCTTTTGTCTGGCCCAGCGTGTCTGAGCTTCATATTTTTGCTGCAAGTTTGTATTACTGTTTTATTTTGGAGGGAGGAAACTAAGGCTAACAAATAATTTGACTTGCCTCTGAGAGCTGTGGTCAAGGGCAGAGCTGAGCCAGAGCCAGACCACCTGCCTGCATCCCACCTGTCCCCACAATCCAGTGCTTGACCTGACACAACTCAGATAGCAAGTGGATAACAACTTTTACTCATCAAACCATGTCCCGTGTTAATTCACCTTTAGGAAAAGAAAATTGGTCTTGGTCTTGTTGCACATGGCTTTGGTATGAGAGTGGCAGTTTGGGGAAGTCAGTCCCACACCAGGATGTGAGTCATTTCGGGCCCATCTCCCAGTCTGAACGGGCACGTGGTAGAGTGAGATCTATAGCTGTGGCTGAGACAGAACCTCAGGAAGTCCAGCACAGTGCCCTCAGGCCCCGGCTCAGGTGTACACTTACTCACATGCCCCTTTTTGCCTGATTTTCTTCTACAGAGTCCCCACCTCTCACCTGCTGGACCCTCCTTAGCCAGTTACCCACTCCTTACCTGCCAGTGCTCCCGGCCAGCTTCCCCACGCCTTCATTGCCCTCCTCCAGCCCCCACCACTGCCCATTGCTCTCTGCAGCAGGCCTTGCCTCCTAATGCTCAGGAGAAAGACTCAGGATAAGCACTTTTTCTGCTTCCTCCAGTTTCACCCTGCAACCCTACCTGCTGCTGTGCTGCTTTCCTGCCTCCTTGCCTGGCTGCCTCCACTCTCTAAGGCTCATCCCTGCACTGCACAGTGCTCTGGGACCCCTGCTCTCCCAGGATGCCCTCCCTCCACTCCATGCACTCTCTCTCTGTCAGTTCTCCTTTCTGTGTAGAAATGTGCCCTCCCTTTGCCTCAGTACCCTCTAGCTCCCATTCTCTCTCCCCTTTTCCTCTGCAATACTTTCATCCATGCCCCCAACCCCTGCCCCCACATCCTTCATCTAGGTTTTCCTGGGCTCCGAGACAGCACTGGCCAACATCACAGTGACCTCTCACATGCCAGCCAAGTGGGCACCTCTCAGCCCTTCCCTTACATCACCTGGTGGTGGCATTTGCCATGGTGGACCCAGGCCCCAGTCCCCGGAATCCCCTGCATTTCCTCCTTGCCTGTCACCCCTGGTTACTGCCATTTGTTCTCCTGCCCTGTAGTTTCCAGGCTTTCATCACTGGCCTCTTCTTATCTGTGACCTCCCTGGAAGAGCTCATCTGCCTGGGCTGTCTGCTGCCTGTGGACACTTTATTCACAATGCCCTGGCCTAGCCCTGAAGCTCCTGTACCCTGGGCCATTTCTCCAGCTGCCTACTAGACAGTTGACTGCCCCACTTCAAGCTTACAGTAGTTTAAAAAAAAAAAAAAAAAAAACAGCTGCCATCCCTCCCCACCCTCGGTGTGTCCTCTAGTGGATACCACACTCATCCATTAGGGAGCCTGACTCCTCCCCGCTCCCACCCCATCTCATATCATTGCACATCCAGGCAGCCCCTAGCCTGGTGCTCACACTTCTCTAGTGCCCTGGTGTGGCTCAGTAGAGTTGACAGAGGCATGCCTCCCTCAGTGGATCTGGCTTCATTTTGAAACAATGTCTTAGTTGGTCTCCATCCTCCCCTCCGCCCCCTGCAATCCAGCATCCACAGCAGCTGGGAGGATCTTGCCTGAAAGCAAGTCTGCTCTGTCACCTCCCTGCTCAAACTTCTCTCTGGGGCTCTTTGTTGCCTCCAAATAAATTCAAGTAAGCAGGAACACCCACCTCTGACCCCTCAGCTGTCTCCAGTCCCCAAGCCAACACATGAGGGTCCAGCTAAATGGAACTCTGCTTCCTTGAAGCTCCACGAATATGCCAGGTTTTCTTGTCTGGGGTTTTGCACATGCTGTTCCTATTGCCTATAAGGGTCCTCCTCCTTCACCTGAGGACTCCCTCCTGCTAGCACCAACCCCCTCTGCTGGGGGCTTACCATGGGCCTTGCTTCTGTCTTGGCACTTACCACAGCTGAGTGGTCATTGCCCTCGGCCTGTGTTCCCAGGCTGGGAGGTCTCAACGGTGGTGTGGTGTCTCCATGTCCATGCACAGCCACACAGTCTGCCCAAAGGAGGTGCTCAGGAAGGGTCTGTTGTATGAATTACGTTTCTCCCCACACTGTCCCCCAGCTGGAGATCAACGATGTGACCAGGGCCTGGGGGCTGGAGGTGGACCGCGTGGAGCTGGCAGTGGAGGCCGTGCTGCAGCCGCCCCAGGACAGCCCAGCCGGGCCCAACCTGGACAGCACCCTCCAGCAGCTGGCCCTGCACTTCCTGGGAGGAGGCATGAACTCAGTGGCAGGAGGTACCCCATCCCCGGGGCCAGGTGAGGATCCCTGGGGAGGAGGGTGGGGGTACTTTGCAGCACGGTGCACCTTAACCCAGCAGCTCTGCGCATACACACCCTACACAGATGTTCAGCTCACGCTGACCACAGCCAAGGCAGTGAGAGGAGGCCAGGTGTCTGAATGTGGAGGAGGCGACAGCACCAGAAGGGCAGCTGGAGAGTTTTATGTCAGGCACAGTGGCTCACGCCTGTAATCCCAGCACTTTGGGAGGACAAGGAAGGTGGATCACAAGGTCAGGAGTTCGAGATGAGCCTGGCCAAGATGGTGAAATCCTGTCTCTACTAAAGATACAAAAATTAACTAACTGGGCATGGTGGCAATCACCTGTGGTCCCAGCTACTCAGGAGGCTGAGGCAGGAGAATTGCTTGAACCTGGGAAGCAGGGGTTGCAGTGAGCCAAGATCACACCACTGCACTCTAGTCTGGGTGACAGAGTGAGACTCCATCTAAAAAAAAAAGTTTTATATCTGAGTCTGGAGTAGTTTAGAAACTGGGTTTGGGGTTTAGGCTGAAAGCTCAGGGGCACCTTTCTAGCAGAGGAGGAAGTTGAACAGAGGCCCAAAGGGAATGTAAGAGGAAACTGCCACAAAAGGTGTGGAGGACGCAGTGGGTGGTCCTGACCTTGGCAGCGCGATGACCACCTCTCTGCCTCCTTCCCCAACCCTGTTGGCCACCCCCAGCAGACACCATGGAGATGGTGAGTGAAGTTGAGCCGCCTGCCCCTCGAGCTGGTGCTGGGCCCAGTCTGAAGCAGCCTGTGGCGGAGGGGCTGCTGACTGCTCTACAGCCCTTCCTGTCCGAGGCCCTGGTCAGCCAAGTCGGGGCCTGCTACCAGTTCAATGTCGTCCTGCCCAGCGGCACCCACAGCGCCTACTTCCTGGACCTCACTACAGGTGCAGCTGCCCTCCCGGCCCCTCCTTCCCATCCAGCTTGCCAGGTTGCTTGTTACCCACACCCATGGTGCTCTTGTAGACTGTCCCCTGCTCCTGCCAATCATTTGGGGTGAACCCATGGCAGGCAGGGGCTCTGACACTATTTCCAGGCAGTGACTATCTATGCCCTGGTTTCCCTGCCATCTGCAGGACAACGCAGCCAGGCTTCCAACACCCAGCAGCCTGTCCATGTTACAGGTGCTGCCTGCCAGGCCCTAAGCCAGGCGTCACCTCACCTACTTCTCACCATGAGCCTATGTTATAGGAATTTCAGCATCTCTAAAGGGATCAGCATTATCACAGATTTGGAAACTGAGGCTCCAAGAGTTCACACAGCCAATAAGACTCAGAGTATTACAACCTGAACTCTTAACCAGTACACTCCTCCCAATGGCAAATGCCAGCCCCTCCCTTCCCTGATAGCTCTCCTTCATGCTACCCATCCCCCTACTGACACTTGACTTTCTTTTCCCCCACAGGACGAGGAAGGGTGGGACACGGGGTGCCTGATGGCATCCCTGATGTGGTGGTGGAGTTGGCTGAGGCAGACCTACAGGCCCTGCTTTGCAGGGAGCTGCGGCCCCTGGGGGCCTACATGAGTGGACGGCTGAAGGTGAAGGGCGACCTGGCGGTGGCCATGAAGCTGGAGGCTGTGCTCAGGGCCCTGAAGTAGCAGTCTTGGCTGACTTTCCATAGACCAGTCCCAAGCCTGACACCAAGCCCAAGGGGCCTCTTGGAGATGTTCATCTGGACCACGGAGAGTTGAGGCCCAGCCAAGAGCCCAGGGATGGAGGCTGGGGGAGGCTGAAGGCTGAGGGAGGCTGAGTCCAGCTGCCCTGCACATCTGACCTACAGTGGTTCTCTGGACAAGCCTTTGCCCATCCTGGTCCCCGGCTGAGTGCCCAGCCCTGAGCTGGGTGCATGGTGTGATGCCAGGAGAGCCAGACCACCCTGCCCTGCCCTGCCCTGCTGGCTCCCTGACTGGAGAGGCAGGACCCACAGAAACAGCCTGACAGCAGCTGATCTGGTCCTTGTGTAAGGGACCAAGCATGTGGCCCAGGCTCTAAGCTCTGGGGGAATTAGAGAGGGAGGGGAACGGGAGGGAAGGCCGGTGGAGGTCACTGCGGTGGAGTTATCTGGGTATCCTGGCCAGCCCACCTTCCTGGCTGCAGTCCAGGGCCAGGCTAGTGGGAGTGGGCACAGGAAGGAGCAGGGCCTGCTATTCCCCTGGCACTGCTCCCAAAGACATCTGACTCATAGGCCAGCTCCGTCCTGCATGCCTGGTGAGCTGGGGCCCAGGGCAGCATGAAGGAGAGCCCTGCGTTCTGTGCTTCTTACCAGAGGTTTGCAAGCCTCAGACAAATAAATGTGTTTACAATGTATAGAAGAGAAGAAGCCAAGCGGGGGTCCTGGGAGCATGAGGTGGCCTAGGAGGGTCCACAAGGTCCCTGCTGCCAGCCCAGGCAGGGATCGACATCCTGATGGCCAACACAGACTCTCACAGTATTTGAAGTTCTTCCTCCTGAGTGTCTCAAAGTCCCTGGAAGCAGGGGTGGGTCTGGGTGGGGAGTTCTGTGTTCCTGTTTGTAGTGGGGTACAGGTTCACTGGGAAAGGAAGGCATGAGTGTGCCAGAGCTGGTCCTGCAAACACTGAGGGTCAGGTTGGGGACCTCATGTCCCATTCAAGAGAGGAGTTGGGGCCACTGCCAGCTGCCCTTCCTGGTACAGTCCATCGCTGCTTCTCCCTGGATGACAGGAAGGAAACAGTCATCGAGGCCTGGCCCCAGGGCCAGCCCAGCCCTGCTTTCTGCTCCAGTACTCCAGCCCAAACCCCAGGCCCCAGAGAAGGGGGCATCTGACTTCTCCAGTCCTAAGAAAGGAATCTTACTCCCTGGAGAGGCTTCTGGGAAGAACAAAACCATGAAAATCAGAGCCTTCCCTTAAGAGCACCCCCCAGCCTGTCCTCTGGCACCACATCTTCCCTCTCCCCGCAGGGGTCTTTCCCCTTCCTGGGTGCCTGGCTCTGTCTTGTTTGCTCTCTGCCCCTGCCTTTAGGAGACACTGCCTTGTCCCTCATCCTGGAGGTCCTCCACCTTGCCTGAGGCACCTCCCTAAAGCCCAGCATAGACTCCTCTGTCACTGCCATGGCCATTGAGGTTCAGGTTTCCAGGGCCCCTTCCTAGAGTCCCAGCCTACTACACCTGCCGCTGCTCCTTTGCCCACTTGGAGGCCTCTCTTAGGTCCTCCTGGGGCTTTCTAGCTGAGGCTGTCCATTCCAAAGCCTGCCTTCCAGTCCCTGCAGCCACCCTTTGAGGCCCAATGGGACCTGTCCTCTATGCCCTTGACCAGCTCTCTGCACCCATTCTGCATTGTGTGTTTCTGCTCCTTGCATACATGTCTGCCCTCCCTGCTGGACTGGGAGCGTCCTGCATCAGCGTTTGTGGATTCCTTCCATTGCTATTACATGGTGTGAAGGGCTGCCCAGAAGACCCCAGGCATTTTCACAATGAAAGCTGGCACTGCCCCTTGGCTGGGTTGGGGCTGGGGGGAAAGGGGAGACAGGAAAAATAAGATCACAACTTACGGGAAACCCAAGCTCTTCTTTGCTTTGTGGGCATGGGAAGATCAACATAACGTTTAGAGGAAACCGAAACTTTTCTGTGTGGGTGGAGAGTAAGATCTGCCCCAGCCATTAATCCTTGGCCAGCACTCCAGAAACGGGGGCCCACGGGTTCTATGGCCCCTGAACCACGGAGGACTAAGCAGACCCTGCAGTCCATAGGGGAGGGAGGACAAAGGTCACCTAAAGGGTCGGTGTGAAGAAGGAGGAGGAGGGTGTGTGTCAATCAGAGAAGGCTTCCCTGAGGAGGGGATGTCACGCCCACCCCAGCTACCAGCTAGGTGGACAATGAGAAGAGATGGGGAAAATCATTCAGCAGAGGGGAAGTGGCTGCAAGGGCACAGCTGGAAGAGGCAGCCAGGCAACTGGACTTCAGGGAACTAGAACCTGAAGTACAAGACAGGCAGCGTATGGAAATAGTAACCATTACTGTGTGCCAAATATGTCCTTATACTGGACTAGATTCATGTATTATTTTTTTTTCAAGATAACCTGGTGCATAATGGTAATAGTTATAGTATGCTGGTTAATATATTAATACATAATGTGTTATTCTGATGTTATTTGAAAGTATTTTTTTTTTTAATTTTTGAGACGAATCTTACTCTGTCGCCTAGGTTGGAGTGCAGTGGCACGATCTCAGCTCACTGCAACCTCCATCTTCCAGGTTCAAGCAATTTTCCTGCCTCAGACACCTGAGTAGCTGAGATTACAGGCACATTACCACCACACATGGCTAATTTTTGTATTTTTAGTAGAGATGGGATTTCACCATGTTGGCCAGGCTGGTCTGGAACTCCTGACCTCAAGTGATCCGTCTGCCTAGACCTCCCAAAGTGCTGGGATTATATGCATGAGGCATCATGTCCGGCCTTATTTTTAATTATTTTATAAAAAATTTTTTGAGGCAGTCTTGCTCTATCACCCAGGCTGGAGTGCAGTGGCATGATCATAGCTCACTGCAGCCTTGAACTCTGAGGCTCAAGTGATCCTTCTGCCTCAGCTTCCCAAGTAGGTGGGACCACAGGTGTGTGCCACCACAACTGGCTAATTTTTTAAATCTCTTTTGTAGAGATGAGGGTGTCTCCCCTTGTTGTGCAGGCTGATCTTGAACTCCCAGGCTCATAGGATCCTCCCACCACAGCCTCCCAAAGTGCTGGGATTACAGGTGTAAGCCACTGTACCCAGCCAGTATTTTAATTTTGATTGGCTGAATATTTAAAAAGATAAGAAAACATATTATGAAAATTGTCCCTCCACACGTGTTTTCCATGCCTTCCCCCACCCCCTGTGATTAGTTTCTCTGTAATTCTTCCAGGAGGTTTGTTTTGTTTTGCTTTTTTAACATATAGGCAAGAAAATCAGCCTATATATCCTCTGGGTTTTTGTTGTTCCTGTTTTTATACAAATGACAACATAGAAACACAATGTTGCTTTTTTCCCTTAAGATCACCCATTGAGGATCTTTCCCTGCTGCCAGAGGCAGCCTTTCCCTGTTCTTTCTTGTAGTTACATAAGATTCCACGGTATGGATGCATCATAATTTATTCAACCTATCCTGGACTGATAGACATTAGATTGTTTCTTGTGTTTTGCTATTTTAAACACTTTTGCAATGAATAATCTTTAACATGTGCATTTGTGGTAGAGTTTATCTGTAAGATAAAATCCTAGACGTGGAATTGCTGGATCAAAGGATTTATAATTTAGTAAACATTGCCAAAATACCCTCTCTGGGGATTAGACCAATTTACACTCCCATTATCAGTGGTGTTTTTTTCTCACAGACATGCCAATACACTGTGTTATTAAACTTTTAGATTTTTTGACATTCTGGAAAGTAAAACTTTGTATTTCAGTGTAATTCTTTTTGCTTATTTTTTTTTTTTTTTTTTTTTTTTTTTTTTTTTTTGAGACAGAGTCTCACTCTGTCACCCAGGCTGGAGTGCAGTGCAGTGATCATGGCTCACTGCAGCCTCAACCTCCCAGGCTTAAGCAATCACCACACCTGGCTCTTTTTTTTTTTTTTTTTGGAGAGACAGTGTCTTCTCAAGCTGGTCTCTAACTCCTGGCCTCAAGTGATCCTCCCACCTCTGCCCCACAAAGTGCTAGGATTACAGGCATGAGCCACCTAGCCCAGCCTGTTTGTTGTCCAATTGCTCATTGCTTTGTAAGACTTGGATTTCTAGCTGCAGCAAAGAATAGGGTTAGGTTTTGTTGTTGCTGTTTTCTGTCTTCCCCTAACATTGACTTTTTTTTTTTTTAGACAGAGTTTCGCTGTTGTTACCCAGACTGGAGTGCAATGGCATGATCTCAGCTCACCACAACCTCTGCCTTCTGGGTTCAAGCAATTCTCCTGCCTCAGCCTCCCGAGTAGCTGGGACTACAAGCACGCACCACCACGCCCAGCTAATTTTTGTATTTTTAGTAGAGACGGGGTTTCACCTTGTTGACCAGGATGGTCTCGATCTCTTGACCTTGTGATGCACCCGCCTCGGCCTCCCAAAGTGCTGGGATTATAGGCGTGAGCCACCGTGCCCGGCCAACATTGACGTATTCTTAAGATGTAATTTACGTATGATAAACACCCTTTTAAAATGCATCATTTGGCTGGCTCAGGCCTGTAATCCCCGAACTTTGGGAAGCTGAGGCAGATGAATCACCTGAGGTCAGGAGTTTGAGACCAGCCTGAACAATATGGTAAAACCCTGTCTCTACTAAAAATACAAAATTTAGCCGGGCTTGGTGGCACACGCTTGTAGTCCCAGCTACTCAGAAGGCTGAGAGAGGAGAATTACTTGAACCTAGGAGGCAGAGGTTGCAATGAATTGAGATCATGCCATTGCACTCCAGCCTGGGTGACAGAGCGGGACTCCGTCTCAAATATAAATAAATTAAAAAATTAAAATTAAGCGTATCATTTGATGTCCTTTGACAAATGTGAACACCTGAGTAACTACCACCCCCTGCAATCAAATACAGAACATTCCCATCCACTCGCAGAGTTCCTCTCGTCACTTCCCAATCAGTGCTCACTACCTCCAGCCTCAAGCAACCTTGACTTTTCCATAGCCGCTGATCACATTTCACTTTTCTAGAATTTCATGGGAATTAAATGAGTACACAGTATGTACTCTTTTGTGTCTAGCTTTTCCCCCTCACTGTAATGCTTTTGAGAGAAATGCATGTTATTCTGTGTATCTGCAGTTTGTTGTATTGCCAAGTCACATTCCGTTGTCTAAATAGAGGCACAATTTATAATTTCATCTGTTGATGAACATTTGAGTAGTTTTCAGGTTTGGCTGTTAAATAAAGCCCCTCCAGATATCTATGTACAAGTCTCTGTTTGGACATATATTTTCATTTGCGTAAATATCTAGAAGTAGAATTGCTGGGCTTAAAAACTGCCAAACATTTCCAGAGTGGTCATATGGACATATGGTATAGTCAGTCCTTTAAACTCTAGGCACTCTAGCAGGTGTGACTCACAATGCCGAGCCACTTTTTATTTGCTTACTGGGCATGTGTTTTCTTTTGTTAACTATCTTTTCAAGTATTTTGCCCATTTAAGAAATGGGCTATCAATATTCTTAAGCTTTAAAAGTTTTTAGCATAGCTGGGTACAGTGACACATGCCTGTATTCCCAGGTACTCAGGAGGTTGAGGGAGGATCCCTTGAGCCCAGAAGTTCGAGGCCAGCCTGGACAACACAGCAAGACCTGATCTTTTAAGAGAAAGAGAGGGAGGGAGGGAGGGAGAAAA